TAGGGCTAGACACCCATTTCTAATGGTCCACCTGTGTAGTGTCAAACTTGGTTTTTTTAAAAAAAAATTTAGAGTTCAAGATATGCCTTAAAAACTGCACACAAAAAATATACCACCACTCCTGCTGAGAACAACATGGATGCCTTCTTCAACCAGGAGCCCTCCAAATGTGTTGAACTACAACTCCCATATTCCTCAGGCAGCATAGTTCACCTTGGTTTAACTACTGTCAAAGGCAGAAAGGGCTATTTTAATGGGGTGATGATATATTGCTTAAGCAGTGCTTAGGAGTTTCACATAACATTCACTCTTAACTAGAAACTACGTGAAAGATTTTGCTGAAAAGTGACAGAGACATGTTTTCAGATGGGCAGGTGCTTCCTATTGGGATATTCCATTTAACAAGGGCCTGAATTTCCTCTCCTGAAACCTTGCAGCAGCAGTTGAGAGAGAGGCAGAGAAGAGGCCTGCTTGGGATACTGGAAGCAAAAGAAACAGCAGCATTCAATTGTAATGCTTGTTTTCTGATGTAGTTTGGGGCAGGGAGGGCAGGTACAAAACAAGAAATAAAATTCTGTAATCCTTGGCACAGAAGAATTAGCAAGCCACTGATATCTTCATGTCAGCATTTCCACTAGCAAGAGGCCATCTGGGAGCTGGGCAGAGCAAAAGGGATGATACAAATTTCAGACAGCTGGATGGGAATTCCTCAGGATGAATACATGTGGAAGGAAGGAAGTAAATTTCTAATGCAAGAGGTTCTCCTTCCCTGAGCAGTTCAGGTTGTCCAGCTAGTCATACTAATTGAAAAATCTCAGTTCATCGAAAATAATTTCAAGGGTAGGATTCCACCAATAAAATACAACTCAAGAAATTATCCTCAGACAAGCTGTATGTGAATGGTTACCTTTGTACATTAATGTCAGCAGAAACATGCCCTCCAGCTCTTGGCTTAACATCCCTAACCCAATGATAACAAGAAGCACTTCCATTAATGCTAACTTGAATACACAGAATGCAGCCAGCGGGGGTGGGAGGAAGAGTGATGAAAAATGCAACGTGTCAAATGTAAATGTAAATGTTAAATGTGACTTAAAGTACTTTTGTCAGAAGTTGGGTTGCAACTACATAACAGTGGGATTTGTGTTGTGCTATACTGCACAATTTTCTTTTTTTATGGCCAGCTGCAGACCCCTATGCTTGGATGCGTCAATAGACCTCAATGCTTCTGTTTCTGACAGGCTTCCATCCTTTCTCTAGAATACTGCTATGCTAAACCCTCCCACTAACACATACTTTAAGGTCTGTATTATCATACCTATTTCAACAAAGAGATACACATTTGGGAGAAAAGCAGGAAACTGATGAAACAAGTATCTTAGGAAGGCCATTAGGGTATATTCCAGTGCTTAAGTCTCCCAAAGCATGAGTTGTAAGATACTATATAGGAAGGAAAGAATACTAGAAAACTGCAGAGTAGGAATGAATGAAGCTTGCTTTCAATTTCAGTTTCTTACATCTTTAGACTTTTTTTCATTCCTGTCCCTTTTATTTCTTACATTCTGCTGTCCCTTAACATCTTGATTTGCTGATAGAGGAATTTCATTTCTTCAGAAATTTCAATCAATGAATCAGACTTCCTGGATTTTTCTATTCATTGTGTCTTTTCACAGAACAAACAGAAGTTCTCCTGCTTCCTTCCCTTGCTGCCATCTGCTTTTTATGCTCAGTTTTTTACACAGGCCTTCTTATTTTCATAGCCATACTACATGTCACTATTTAGTGGTTGTTGGGTTTTTCTTTTTTTTAATCAGTTTGTCCAATTCTCGGAGACAGCCTGGACAAGCCCCTGCAGTTTTCTTGGCAAGGTTTTTCAGAAGTGGTTTGCCTTCTTTCTAGGGCTGAGAGGGAGTGACTGGCCCAAGGTCACCCAGCCGGCTTTCATGCCTAAAGTGGAACTAGAACTCACAGTCTCCTGGTTTCTAGCCTGGTGCCTTAACCACTACACCAAACTGGCTCTCTATTTAATGGTTAGCATTAGAACTCACAGTCTCCTGGTTTCTAGCCTGGTGCCTTAACCACTACACCAAACTGGCTCTCTATTTAATGGTTAGCATTAGAACTCACAGTCTCCTGGTTTCTAGCCTGGTGCCTTAACCACTACACCAAACTGGCTCTCTATTTAATGGTTAGCATCCTTGTAGAACAGAGCCAATTTGATATAGGCAATAATTGTGAGTTCTAGTCCTGCTTTAGGCATGAAGCCAGCTCGGTGGTCTTGGGCCAGACACTCTCTCTCAGCCCTAGGAAAAAGGCAATAGCAAATCACTTCTGAAAAAGGTTGCTAAGAAAACTGCAGGGACTTGTCAAGGCAGTGGCCAGGAGTCAAGACTGACTTGAAGGCAACACACACACACACACTCAAACTCTTTACAGGGGTTGGGAGGTTAGATTCCAGAAGTAGATCTCTGCCCTGTAGAGTGACACCTGAGAGCACTAGTGGGCCATAGATATCTCCCTTGCTACCCACCAGCAGCTGCCACTCCTGATTTTCTGTAAGGTTTTTGTGTTTTTTTTAAAAAATGGGAAACCAACATGCTTCAGTGCAGAGTGGTAGCCTCTCACATCTTCTTTATTTCCAAAGGGACCAAGGGACTCATGAGCTCTCCTAGAAAATAAAATTTTGATCATTTCAGCCTGGGGCTTTCTTTGGAACTATGCCCACTGACTTAGAGAAAAGAGTGGAGATACATGAGGGAAAGGGAACATGAAGAGAAGAGAAAGTACAGCTAGGGCAAACCCGAACTTTAAAAATACTATGTCCCCCAGGGCAGCCAGATTGTGACTGGACAACCCCAATACAGCATCCATTTGCAAGTTGGCCTACAACATTTTCTCAACATGTCAGATGTTCCTACGAGCCCAGCAATGCTGGGGACTCTTGGCTCCTGCAGTAAATCAACAATATCCCTGCCTCCTAATAGTTCCATATTAATAAGTTGAAGTGCAAGGGTTTTTTTTTTAAGTATTCATTTAATATTATTTAATATTAATATTTATTTAATTATTTAATATTATATTTTACATGCAGGGAATCCCAGATTTGAATTCAGGATACAGCTTCACCCATTCTGCAAACACCTCTTGCAAATTCTATCAGGAAATTTTAAGTTTTGACAGGATAAAAGATCAGTTGCTATCAGCAACAGAATGGAGATGAACTTTTTGTTGCCTTGTGCTGGTGCCCATGGAAACTCTCTTAAAATCTTATTCCAGTAGAGGAATTGTTTACTGGAGGGGGGAAGGGTGCCGTTCTTGAGGGAGGGCTAAGGTGGTCTTTCCTCCACAAGCATCTTGCCACAGCTGCCCCTGTACCCCTATTAGGCTTTCCAGCATCTCCATAAATCTTAGTGGGGCTCTTTCTAGCTGGATTCCAACACAGAAAAATGAAATCTTATTTTCAGTGAGTCTTATTAGTCAAACTTAAGAGATTTTCCTGCCTGCAGACCCTTCTGGGGAGTGTGTGTGTGTGTAAGAGGTGTATATACTGTATGTAAGGGAGAAATGATAAATGAGAGAAAACAGGTAGAAACTCGGGGGGGGGGCTGCTATGTTGAAGTTCTATCCATCCATTATTGAACTGGCAGAAGACTATATTCACATGAAATTAGTTGTTCCCATTGCTCCAATCCCTATCCTGCATTGCTTGACTTTCCTCCATAGTAATTCAGGTGGTCCTCATTTAACGACCATTCATTCAGCAATCGTTTGAACTTATGATGGCACTGAACAAGTGTAGTTACTACCAAACATCATACTTATGGCCTTCACAGCATCCCACAGTCACATGGTCACCATTTGCGACCTTCCCTGCCAGCAAAATCAATGGGGAAGCTGGCAGGAAGTCAGAAATCACGGTGATGTGAGGTCTTCGCTTAACAAAGGCAACTGGGACTGCCAGGACTGCCATTGCTAAGTGGCACGGTCACATTTTTTTTTTTTTTTACTTATGACCATGTCGTGCAACAACAGTTTCCAGTCCCAATTAATGTCACTAAACAAGGACTACCTGTAAGTAATAAAGCCTAACAGATTTTTAGATATCTTGAGACCATCCTTGGATGGTGCTGGAGCAAAGGGGAAAATTCCATTTTAACACTAACAGAGCTCAGAAAGATTTAAGCCTGTCTCACTTATGGGCTGGGGATGAGATGAAGGCCACATTATGGGGATCCAGTACAAAAAAAAAAGATGTTGCCAGGGATTTGGTCCAAAGGGGAGAGGCACTCTTTGTGGTGTGGCTCTCCCATTTTGGGCAAACTTCTGGCCCATAGGCCAAATATGTCCCTGCCATATAGATGCCAAAGAAGGCAACCATGTTGATCCCACCCCCAAATCAAAAACCCACCTCAAAAGAATGCAACTGCTCTATCGCATTTCCTCTGGAAATAATTTCACTCCATGTCCAAAGAAAATAGCTGATTTTGAGGTGGATGGAACAGCTAAAAATGTAAAATAGCCCTTGTTACTCAGTGTAGTCTTAAGCCTACATGGCATCTTCACTGATCCATAAATAGAAGAGGGACTTTTGCAATAGGGACTCCCTTGGGCTTGGTTTAACCTTGTGACATGTTATTAACATATGTTATATATGTTATGTGATACCTCTGATATTTTGTTCACCCTCCCTCTCCCCATGTTGTCTTTTCAAATCTTTTCCAATTATGTTATTGTCAGATGGAAAGCATTTTTACAGTGGTGTCAGGATATTTTCAGTACTGAACTCATGGAGTAATAGAACTGTGAGGAGGTCACCCAAAGTCATCTGTGGAGGAATCGATACAGCTAGACAAGTACTGCAGAGAGCTTGCTGTTCTCTGGACCTTAATTCCTCTTACAGTGCACCCTTGAGACAACCAGACATAGCACTCTACAGGTAAGCACAACCTGAAGGATCCAGATGGTCAGAATACTAAGAGTGATTTCTCCTCCTATTGCAGGAAAGAAAAACATCCCTGCCGGCCTCCCCAACATGGACTCCACAGCTGATAAGGCGACAGTCCAGCAGCTTAGAGGGCTGGATGAGCCCAGGCCAAACTCCAGAATCTGAGGAAGGACTTGTTGAAGCCTTTCGAGCAGCCAGTGTTATGACTCCACCTCCTCCCATGTCTCCATCATGGAGCGAAAGATCTCTGTCCCCATTTCGACAGGAGATTGATCCAAAGTCCAATCGGCAGATGCAGGTGCTGTTGGCAAGAAATATCATAAATGCTGCCCGGAGGAAAAGCTCTTCTCCTAAACTCACTGGGGTAGAAAACTTCAGGCCCTTCACTCCCCCTGTCACTTGCCCCAGTGTGTCATCCACTGGTGGAAGTCCTAAGAATATGGGTTATCGTTCTCCAAGCCCACTACAATCACCCAAGCCAACAAGAATGGATGGATACAGACGTGTCTCCCTCCCCGTCTCAGCTGCCCCACCACAGGCCAGTGCATCATCAAACAACAGCCCCAGGTTGCTAGGCAACAAATCTCCAACCTTTAAAAGCCCACTGCAATCACCAAAAGCAGTGAGGATGAATGGAAACAAATGCTTCACGCTGCCTACTAGAACTGGAGCATCCCAGTTCAGTGCAGCAACAAGCCATAATGGCCCAAGTACGATGGGCATTCATTTTGAACCCCACAAGGATCCAGAGCTACTTCAAAAACCCACAATCGTGGATAGCCATAGGATCTTCACATTGCCAGCAAACACCAGCGGGATATCATGCACCAATCCAAAAAACCTGGGTGCTTCTTCTCCCACTCTCCACAGCCCCCTGCTGTCTCCCATGATGACAGCATGTTCCCCAATGAAGCGCTCCACTTCTATGTCACCCACCAACTCAGAGGCATCCGTGGACTCTGACTGCTCTGGAATGAAGTCACCTAGCATCCGCAGCTTCAACATTTGTCCACGAGGCTGGAATGGCAGCATGAGGCTGAAACAGGGTAGCCTCCCAACAGAAGCATCCTGTACCTCCTAAACCTGGGCCAAGAGATATGAACCAAAAAAAAAAGTTATGAAAGTTGTTGCCAAAATATTTATGCAGGTCCAAACATATATATAATCCTGCCAACCTAATTAAGTTTTAGGAGGAAGAAGTGTATCTGCGAAGATGTAACACCTTCTCTCCAAGCTTGCCATTTCTTGGGGACTTTGAAGAACAAAATAGGACCTATTTATGAGAAACCCTTTTCTCACAACTGCCTGCAAAGAAGGAAATGTGGCTCAGCTTCTACCCCTGCAGGACATCCATTTCCACAGGCTCCTTGTTAGCTTCCTCCCCTCTCTCTATTGGGGAACATGCTTGACTTTCCCAGGTTTTGCTTTCTCTTTCTCAGCCAGACTGGAGCTACCAATGACTTCCTTGCTCAGGGGAGATTAAGATGGATCTGATTGCTTTTGTTCCCTCTCTGAAATATCCTGTGGGAGAAGGACACAGAGCCCACAGCAGAATCTTTATGGACTCTCAGTGAGGGGACAGTGGGAGAGGAAAGCCAGCCTTAAGTCTGTGTTTCACTTCCATGAAACAATTGCTATTTGATGGAGCTAATCATCAGTCAGTCAGCTTCCACTCCAACAGCCTGAGGGAAGGAGAAGAAAGCAGAAAAAAGTATGAGCCAGAAACCTTGGTGCTTCATCTGCACAGTGTAGCTTTTCCTCCAAATATAAGGGCTGACTTTATACAAACCAAATGAAGTGAAAGAAGGTTGTCTTACAGCCTTTTGTTCTCTGGACTGCTGGAGCTGAGTCGCAAGAGGATGAAGGACTGATTCAAGCTACACTCCAAGTACGCCTCCATCCAAACTGGAAGATACCACCCAGATCTTCCTGGAAATGCCACCAAAGCCAGCCAATCTGGGATTGTGACAGTGAGGATGCCCATGAGTTTCCAGTTAACACGCAGCAAGGGAGGACTGTTCCCAGCACATACCCCAGTGACCTCAGAACCCTTGCCATGACTTCAGGGACTGAGGGCACAGTGAGCAATGGTGCTGGTACTGCCAGTCACCAGGAGAAAGTTCTTCCAATCTCTTCTACTGCTTCATAGTTTACCAGATACCAGGAAGGCAAAGCTATTCAACACAGCCCTCTGGGTGGGAAATTAACAAAGGGTAATCACAACGTTCCTTGGTTAGTAAGCCCAAAGCAATGCCCCTTCTGCCAACCCCCTTCAGGTAGATGGAAGCTACCTCCAGTTGCTTCTTGCCTAACGGTTGGAAAGTAGGAAATGGAGAAGGAAGCTCAACCCCTACAAGGGGCAGGAGCAAAGGAAGTTACATCCAAGATCCAAGAAAAGAAAAGAAAAGTTCAACAGAGCTGTCCCCTAACCACAGCTACCCATTAGATACTTCATGGGCCACTTGACTTGACATAGAGGCCAGGGCACAGAGGCTGAAGTCATAGCCCTAACTGGGTGGAACAGAATACACTTTACATGCAGAGAATCCTCTAATCTGCATTCTGAGTAACAGTCCACACTAGGAAAGGAAAAGTGAAGAGCTGTTGCCTAAAACACACAAAGGTACCAAGATATGCATAAGCCAGTCAGTTGGAAGATCCTGTATGGGTCAGCCAGCTCAGGCCCCATTCCTTGCAATCTACCAAGAAGGATTGCCTATCAAGGAAAATAGCAGACAAACCAATGGACTAAATTCCAGTTCTACTCTTCCCTCTCCCTTTGCCTTATCCCCCAGTACTATGCCTTGTAGCAACATCTACAAGGCACAGTACTGTGCCTGGTGGCAGCATCTATCCATTCACTCCCTCTACATGACCAGAAGAAACTTCTGATCTACCTCTGCTGAGCAGCAAAGAAAAGCACACCTTGTATCATCCTTGCCTTTATTGTTCAGCATCCAGAATGAAGGACTTCCTGAAATGTAAGACATGCACATACAGTACATGCATATTTCTCCTTTAGGTATTACAATGGACCTCTATAACTGGCTTCATTCATTATGTTAAGCCACAAAGCAGTGTCCTTGGATGTGTGACGTGTGAGCCCAGTTTGAGTGTACGATAACTTGTTCTGTGCTGTACCTTGCTGTGATCCTGCAGAGTAGAAGTATTCATCTTTGTTTGGATGGAAGTAGCTGACTGGAGCAGGGTGGCTGGGGAAATAGGTCTCTTCCCACTGAACAAAATAATTCAGGCAAGTCAAGAGAAAAGACAGGGGAGAGTGTAGTTCAGGCAGATTCCACAGCACGATTGTCCTTTGCTTTCCTGTGTGGCATGCTTATCCTGCCCTCTCCAGTCATAGGAATAGAATAGGAGTTGCTCTACAGTATTTGTGTCCAAAGTCCTAGATGAATTATCTCTAAGGATTCTAGGCAAAGAGGTGTTAGCAATGTGTTCTGTGATCTGGAGTCTAGCCAGTGTGAACAAAGGGCACCCTGGGTGTGCAAAATGTCCTCCTCCCATGGTTTCCTCTTATCTCTCAGTTCTGGCCACCTACTGTATATCTTACCCATTTTCTCTCTTGCTTATACACTGTGTGATACAGTGTCATCTAGCTAATACATCAGCTGGCCTTGGCATGGACCGGGTCGTATCAGGTGTTTCCCTACTTGCCCTTGATGCAGCAGTCACCCTCTATTTTTAATCCTGTAACCTTTAAAGACAAGAACATTTATTTGGTATTAATTCAAACTGAGCCAGAAATGAATAATCAGGGCCACCCCCATCTTTGTTTTCTTCTGATCATGCATAGCTTATGTAGGAGATCAGATGGAGGAGGCTCCAGGCTGTGGGTACCTTGGAAACATACCAGCATAATAAACTCAGCCAAGCTTACCACATAGCCCTTATATCACATTTGCTTTAGCAGTATAACTTCCCCGCAGGAACATCTTGAAGTTTTCCTTTTAGGGGTGAGGAGAAGTGGGATACTGGGGCCAAGTTGGTCTAGCAAGTAAACACTCCTGAAGCCTTGTGATACTCAAGGCCTTCAAGCAGTATATGATATACAGAGCAAAAGAAGCAGAAAAAATGGGATTACTACATCCAGGCATTTTCAGAAATATGGAATATGTTTATGGAGGGGAAGGACCATAGATTACTGATAGAGTAGAAATGCTTGGCTTGCAGTAAATTCAGTCCCATCATTTCCAAGTCAGGCTATGAAAGAGTCCAGTCTGAAGCTCTAGACAGCAACTATCAGTCACTGAGATTCTTCCCTAGCGTACTGCCTTCCGACGTGTTGGACCTCAACTCTTTCCATTCTCAGCCAGCTCATTTAGAAGGGACTTGCTTGAGGAAGGCTTTTGTAAATAATCATGAGCTGGACAAACCTATGGTTCCTAGGTACACCTATCATGTGCACATATCATGGTGACATTTTTGCATGGAAGCCTTATATAGTCATTCAGCCCTTGTGCCCTTACTCTTCTCAATCCATAGTAGAAGCAGCCAGCCAACTCACATCTAGACTTCCTCCTAACATCATTTAGGAATTAATGCTGGCAACAGAACAGATGTGTTGGTCACAGTGCAAAATACAGATTCTCCCGCTGCTGGAAAGACCCATCTTCTGCCTTGACTAAGTAGAGTGGTAGAATTCAAAGAATGATGAAAGAATCCCTAGTGCTACAAAATAGTTGCTACCGTACCACTGCTTGGCTTCTTGGTACTTTGCTGCTACTCCAGTTTCCCCTGAGAAATGGCAAAGGAGAGGAGAGAATCATATACTGAACCCCACCCCCAGGACACCGTTAGGATAGTTTGGTCAAACGATCCATTTCTTCCAGCAGGCAGGGAGCATATGGAAGATCAAGGTGTCATTCTCAGATAGCACCAGGAGGACAGCCAAGTGTTCTTTAGAGAAACAGAAAAAAAAGGGGGGGGGAGGGAGGGAAGATGACAAGGAAAGGCCAATGGCACCCTCTAGGGCTTCATGGTATCAATTGCAAGGTTTTGTCCTAAGAGCAAAGGGAAAATAAATCTGCCACTGAGAACACAAGAGCATAAATGCAGGATTGCTGAGCTTTGTTTTATAGCTCTTGTGGCAAAGAGAAGGCTCTGTCCCAGTCATCTGGGAAGATCTTGGTTAATAAGACGAAGGAAATGCTGCATGTCAAGTGTGAGATGAAGAGAAGGTGTTCAAAAGAGGTATCAAGAACTGAAAAGGTCATTTTTCTCCCTGACCCATGAAATCGCTGTTGCTGTTCACAGCTTAAGGAAGCAAAAGCAAAGCTTGGTCCAGGAAACTGAAAACCATGAAACTAGAGCCTCAAGAGTCCCAACTTCCTGTTTGATTCCAGGGACAAACCCCATCTTTCCTTAAGTGGGGGACTGGTAAAAAGGCAGCCACAAAGCATGCTTGTTCTACTGAATATTGACAGTGTAAAATTACTCTCTGTGTCTTCAGATTCTGGGTGTAAATAGCAACTATGACTTCTGCCATGATGACTCTGCAACAGAATAGATAACCATAACTATTTCCAAATTGTTAAGTTAATGGATGCAGTTTGATAGTATATTACGACACCTTTTCCTCTTGGGTTATTTTCTGTTATGGGACCAGCTCATTTATCAGACATGCCTTATTTCACAGAAATGTATTCCACATGTACAGTACATTACAAAGCAAGTTGACTTAAGAGCACACTGAATATTTGTATGTTCCCTCCCCTGCTAACTTATAGTGCAATCCTATACATATTGTCTCAGAAATCATCTTTTCTCTAGTCCCCTATACAGGTATATAAGATTCCATTCTACAATGTTCATGCACCACTGCCCTGTATCTAAAGGAGAGGCCATACCTACTTGCATACACCTGAACTCAGTTTTTGCTGTGAGGAATCGCAAAAGGCAAGATTTATTGCTGTGTTTCCATGACCAAAGTGTTTGTTGATTTAGATCTACCTGTATACCAAAGGTGCAGTCTCTGTTCATGCCACTGTTTTTCCAGGGCTGTCTTCCAGACAACAGTGCACAAAAGGAGGGAGGCATTATTATCCATACTCTAACACCCTGATTGTGTCAAAACTGATGGCTGAGTTCCTCAGAATTACAGAAGAATTGAGCAGGTGGAAAGATGTAATTAATTAAGGTTGCAATTCTGTACAGGTAGTCCTCATTTAGCAACTGCCTCATTTAGCCACCATTCG